GGGCAGGATGGAATAGGGAAACTGGCTGAGCGCCAACTGCGCCGCCAGCAGGTACGTGGTGGACTTGTCACTCAAAATGACACCTGGCACTTGTTGTGGTCCGCCGCCCGCCGTCGCGGCCGGTGACCCCGTGGCGATCTTGTACCTGTATATGCGTGGCACCTCCTCCGCCCATGCGCTCAGCAGGGCAAACACGAGCCCGGCCGACCCGCTCGGTAGGTAGTTGTACCAGCCCAGGGTCACAAGCTTGAGCAGGACCACCAGCGCGGGCACGACCACGACATTGCACCAGAAGACCACGGCGATAAAACTCGCAAACTTGCGGCTCCCCCATATCCTTTCGAGGACTCGGAACTGGTATAGCAGGACGGCGGAGAACAGCAGCTCGGTCGAGCTGGTGTGTGCGACCTGGTAGGTCAGGAGGCGGGAGAATTGCAGGTACGGCCACAGATGCGGGTGTGGTCGGACAGGTAGGAGGTACTGGATGGAGAGCGTGGACACGAGGATGGACAAGCCAACGGAGCTTAGGATCAGGAGCCGGGTGACCGGGGTGTGGCTGAAGCCTGAGGTCGTGACCATGTTGGCTGTCGAGAAGAGTCGGTGATCATGGAGCCTGGCCTGGGATTTGAAGGCGGGCTAGGACAGAGCTTGTGTTTCAGGAAGCCTAATATAAGTTGCGCAATTCGGGTGCCAGGGTGCTTGATATCCCCCAGAGGCCAGGTATGTAATAATGCCGCTTTATATTTGCTACAGTTTGACAATTTCAACGCAGGTGGAGACTGGTACTTCCCCCGCAGACAGATTTCCCAAGGCTGCGATTTGGAGTTGAAAGTGGCATCCATCAGATTGTCCAAACTTTTTCATATTCTCTGCCCAACAACCACAAAAAAAGCCACTCGCCCAAGAGCCCCGCGGTTGAGCGCCAGCAGCCAAAAGATGGACGGAGTCTCCATGCCTGGTGCTTTTCCCTCCGCTGCCGATGAAAATGCCCCCAGTAACAGAACACCCAAGAGACGGTTCGTGGGAAGACGCACAGCAGAGGCGCAGGCGAGGCAGCGAAGGGGTGAGACTGAGGGGTCCTCCGTGGAGGAAACCACTGCCGTCTCTCATCAAGGTAATGAGGATAATCCCCGTGCTTTCACCCTCGCAGACCACACATCCTGACCGTGAACCAGATCGGCGAAAGGCTCCCAGAGTCCTGAACCAGGTACCCTCCGAAATCCTCGAAGACCCCGATATCCAAGCCGCGATTGCCCTACTCCCTCACAATTACAGCTTTGAGATCCCCAAGACCATCCATCGCATAAGAACCCTTGAGGCTAAGAGAGTGGCCCTACAATTTCCCGAAGGGTTGCTGATGTTTGCCACAACCATCTCAGACATCTTGACTCAATTCTGCCCCGGCACAGAGACTTTGATCATGGGAGACGTCACGTACGGCGCATGCTGTATCGATGACTACACCGCACGAGCCCTAGGATGTGATCTGCTTGTCCACTACGCTCATAGCTGTTTGATACCGGTCTCTGCCACCGAGATTGCGACTCTGTATATTTTTGTTGACATCTCCATCGACACGAAACACCTAGTAAGCACGTTGTCTCGAAACATACCCCCCGGAAAGACAATCGCCATGGTGGGTACCATCCAGTTCAATGCCACACTCCACACCATCAGGCCGGCTCTCGAGGCTGAAGGTCTGAAGTTGGTGGTGCCACAAATCATGCCGCTGAGCAAGGGCGAAGTTCTGGGTTGTACTGCGCCCAAGATCAGCCCGGATGCCAATGTTGATCTGATCCTGTACCTGGGCGACGGTCGCTTCCACCTAGAAGCAGCCATGATCGCAAACCCCCATATCCCAGCTTATCGATACGATCCGTACTCTCGAAAACTGTCCAGAGAAACATATTCGCACGAGGAGATGCTGGACATGCGTGCCGCGGCCATCAGCACCGCAAAGAAAGCCAAGAGATGGGGTCTCATACTCGGGGCACTGGGAAGACAGGGCAACCCTCATATCCTGACAATGCTCGAGAAATACCTTGATAGAGAGGGCATACCATACGTCAATCTCTTACTCAGTGAAATATTCCCTGGGAAGCTTGCCCTGTTTGAAGACGTGGACTGTTGGGTACAGATAGCCTGTCCCAGGCTGAGCATCGACTGGGGCTACGCTTTCCCGCGCCCACTCTTGACACCCTACGAGGCTCTTGTGGTGCTGGGCGCGCAGCAAGGATGGGAAAAGGGAGACGGAACTTATCCCATGGATTTCTATGCCAATAATGGTCTGGCGCGGACGACTGAGAAGGTTGCCGCGCAAGTTGGAGTGAGCGCTTGAAGCGACTCGGCCCTGTATAATATAATGTACGAATTCTAATGATATCATGTTACGTTCACGCATCTCGTTCATGATTATATAGAAACCGCGCAGACGAAAGGTCGTCCATCAATCAATCCGGTCGAATTGCCGGAGTTCTGCCGCTGGCCCCACGACATTCAACTCTGGCTCTTCGTTTCTCCGCCATTTTATATCGAGCACGACGCTCGTTTCCTTCTCACAAAGGCCAACCCACTCATCCTTGTTCTCCATTCAGCCTCGCTGGCGTGGTATGCATTCTGACATCCATGTAGCCGTCCGCTTCCATGATCAATCCGTGTTTGCGGGCGAGCAGCTCCGATGCACCATCACCTTTAGAAATGTCGCGTCTTCGTCCGAGCCCTTGACACCGTCCTTTCAAAGCCTCCGACGGCAGAGGCGTGAGAGCATCAGTCAGCTTGCCGCCGCTCAGTCGACAAAGCCCAGTACTGTGCTCAGGCTGAGCCAGAATGGCCAGAATGGCCGACCGAACAGCCACGAGCAGGGACCTGACCAGCCCGCCCAAAGGCCAGGCCACAAGCAACAGAGATCCGTGTCGATAATCTCGCTGACGTCGCCAACCATCGTGGGGGATGTTGACCACGGTGCCTCTGGGGGCAGAGCGAAGCCCAAAAGGCCAGCTCATTCGCGGTCCTCGACCGTGCAGATTCATCATGGTTAGTTCATTTCATCCTTGAATGAGGGCTAGCAACAGTTTGAATGACCATTCCCAGCTCACCCACACATGACTCCGCAAAGAAGACCCAGCCAGCAATATCACCGAGAGTCTCCGACTAGCCTTCAACCACCACCTAGAGGAGGCCGACGAAGTCCCTTGTCCGCGGCGGCTAGTGGGAGCCGCGATTCCTCTTCCGACATGAGACACATTCCGACCTCAGAAACCGCCAGGAGCCAGAACTCGGACAATGAGCGCAATGACCTGCAAATCCCCAGCCCTATCGACTCTAGCGAGGCTGCTAGAACTTCGGGAGCGGGTGGCCACGACCCCGCCAGCGAAAGGAGCAGCGGCGACTTCTACTCGCTCAGCAACCACTCGCAAGAAACGCTCATGTCGGAGCAACCTTCAATTGTGTCAGAACACCGTCCGACATGGATCAACTCTTCTGCCGCAATTCCGCGGCGCCTGCCGCTGAGACCGCCGCTCCGGCCCCAGGCCGTGAATCTCCTGATGGGCTATGCGCAACTGAGCGCCACGTTCACGCTGGACGCCTCGCTGATCGACCAGTCCCACTTTGAGGAGGTGAAAAGCAAAGGGTTCCTGGGTGGGCAGGCGGGCGGCGGAGTGGTCGGGGTCAAGAAGCCACGCCCGAACAGCGGCTTTCTGGGCCACTTCAACCTCAACGCGCTGGGGGGTTCCCTGAACAGCCTCATGGGCGGCGAGGAGATGAGCAGCGTCAAGGCGATGCACGCCGTAACCAGCTCGCGCGCCATCCCCATCCTCTCGACGCCGCAGTCACTGTTGTTCGTCGACATGCACCTCGAGCCCGGCGAGGAGCAGAGCTACTCCTACACCTACCCGCTCCCGCGGGGTCTGCCGTCCAGCCACCGCGGCAAGGCTATCAAGATCGCGTACACCCTGACGGTCGGCGTGCAGGGCGTGCCGGGGAGTCGAGACGTGCACACGGTGCGCCAAGTCAGCATCCCCATCCGCGTGTTCCCGGGGGTCAGTCACGACGGCGAAATCTACGGCCACGATCTGATGCAACCGCATGTCATTCTACGCGATCTCGCCCGCACAAAGTCTATTTCTGCACCGCACGACCACGAAGAAGCGGCCACCCCGACCACGCAGGCGGCCGAGAAGTCCAGTCTGGAGTTTCTGCAGTTTGTGGACACGCTCCTGGACCGCAACCGCCGGCGGCAGTCGAGCTCGGGGACGATGGACGCGTTTCTGAGTTCCCACGACGCAGGGGCTCGCGGCAAGGCGCTCCACGCCATCGACCGCGCCATCCTCTTCAGCAACTCCCTCTCGGACAGCGAATCGAGTCCAAACCGCTTCGAGATATCGCGGAACGGGTCGCGAGTCGCGGTCATCGTCATCGACCGCCCACTCCACCGGCTCGGCGAGACCGTCACCGCCGTCATCGACTTCTCCGAGGGCCAAGTGCCCTGCGCCTCCCTAAAATCGACCCTCGAGACGTGCGAGAAAGTCGCCCCGTCCCTCGCCGTCCGCTCCGTCCACACCATCAACCGCATCACGCGGAAGGTCTACGCCGCGCGGGCCGAGAACATCCTCTTCGCGCGACGCGCGACGTTTGCGCCGAGCATCCCCGCCTCGGCGACGCCCACGTTCGTCACCTCCGGGGTCAATCTCGACTGGAGTCTGCGCTTCGAGTTTGGAACCATCAAGCCGGCCGAGACCGACGAGGGCGACGTACAGGCTGTAACGGACCTGCTTGAGGAGGTGGTCAATGACGAGCGCGGCACGGTCAATGTCGCGGCGGAGAATTTGGAATGTGACACGTTCGAGGTAGTCATACCCATCACCGTCTACGGCGATCTGGTCCCCGACGGCAAGGAGGGTGAGGAAATTGTCGGTGTCCCTGTTTAGAAGAACGATGTGAAAGAAAGAACGCGAGAGAGTCTTTGGGAAATTATTAGAGCGGCGCTGCCCCTTCTTCGTTCAAGGCTTGTACAGTGTAAATTCAAGGACTATAAACGCCACGTATGCCATCAGCATGGCCAGACCGACCAACCGGTGCGTGCCGAGCATGATCATAACGGTCAAAAACGCCGACGTCGTCCAGGTCCACACGATCTCGTTGGTGTAGCTCGAACCCTGGGCCAGACTGTTTGAGCTCAGGATGGTCACGCCGAGGCAGAGGGTCAGCAGGAAGATGTTGCTTCCTACAGTGTTTGCTACCGTGCTGTAGGAGGTTCTCGTTAGTGTGGCTCGAATACCTAGGTATGTATGTTTTGCAGAATATGACGGAGTGATGTAAACCGTAAACCTTCGGAGGGGGAGACATTGCTAGCGGGTTCAGATGCCCGGGTTTTCACGTTTCACCGCCCGGTTTGAGGAGAGAGGGAGGGAGTGTGTGTGTGTGATAGTGTTGAACTTACATTCCTGGGTGGCCTCGGTGACCGCTGATGACGGCGACAAACTTCTCTGGCAGAGTAGTGGCCAGGGAGAGGAGGGTGGCTCCGAATACGGTTTGGGAGATGTTGAACCGCGCCGCCAGTGACTGGGAGGAGTGTGAGAGGACATAGCCGCTGATCGAGAGTGCGACGAAGGCGAGGAACAGCTTGACCAAATAAGAGAGAGTGGATGGCCGCGTTCTCCTTCGCCCTACCAGGGCAGTGGACTCGTCAACCTCCTCGTCCCCCGAATGGTCGCCGCGAGAGACACCGTCCCGGGGATCATCTGGACCTCTATCGTCTCCAGAGTCCACACTGTCGACATCAGACTCTGCATCCGATTCCTCGGGCGCCTCCAGCTCGCCCCGATAGATGGACCACCCGATACCAGCTAGATACGACGCGAACGCCACCACCAGGATGGCCCCGTAGACGTGGCCTTCGAGCCGGCCAAAGCCCCAAAGCACGGCCACACCGGTGGTGACGCCGAACAAGACAACGGCATAGATCTTCGCGCTCACATCGTACTGGACGACAACCTCCCTCTGAGCCAAGACGCCCAGTGAGAACGCACCGAGAACGTTCGCCACGCAGCTCCCCAGGACGTTTCCCAACGCGAGCTTAGGTTGGTGCTGGGCGACGGCGGCGATCACGACGGCGAGTTCTTCCCACTCGGCGCCGGCGGTGAGGAGCGACACGAGTGTCTCGGAGACATGCAGACGGTGGGCGAAGCGGGCGGTGGAGGAGACGAAGACATCGGCCGAGACGCCCAGGGTATAGACGCTGAGGAGGAACGTGCACAGAGGGAAGAGGGTCGAGTCAACTGAAGAAGAAAAAGGGGCCTCCGTGATGGTCATCTTGTGAAGATCTTGGGGTCTCGATCGCAGCCAGATCATGGCATAGCATGTCCGAGACCGTTTACGTTTACAGTTCTCAGTACATGTCTGCTCTCTTCTCATGGTGCATGGGGGTGATGGTCACGAGGGTACTTTGATGTTTTTGTATGTTTGTTCTGTTTGCCTCGTTTGCCTCATCTCGGCGGATGACATCACCTTGTCTTCATACTTGAATGATTGATTCGACTGCGCGGTGAACTTGCCTGGTAGCGAGGTATTAACCATAGCCATATAAGGCGAGAGGCGAGCTAACAGGTCCTGTTGAAGCTGGGGTTATATCATCCCATACTGACCTTTCACACCACAAGTCTCACATGCACCCCGTTTGAACCAGATGGGCGACGCTATTGCTATATACGAAGTGTTTGCTGCTCTATACTGAAAAAGTCTTTCCAACTCTGTCCGTCCCACACCATGTTCTCCCAACATTAGACGGCAGTCCGCGGGTACATCTACAGTATATCGATCAAACTGCGCGCCAACACCGGTGTTAATTATCGTACGGTCGCTACTAACTCCAATTCGTCCAAGGCTCTCATTTTCTGAATATTCGGATATCTGGTATCTGGTGCTAGAGTTGTTATCATCAGTCGGCGCCACAACTCAAGACACAACCCACTCCTTGACAGGCGGACAGGCAGGGACACTTACCACTCCACTCCACTCCACTCGACACCTCAACCTGCTCCTCGAGGATAGCATGAACTCTTCCGCCCCCGTCCCCGCAAGGCCAACACACTCCCCTGATGAACGGTAAAATGGTCCCTACAACTTAGCAGCCTGTTTCGCCCTCCTCCTCTCGAGCGCCTTCAGCTCCGCCCGCTTGATCTTGCCAGAAATGGTCTTGGGCAAGAAGGAGGCCTCGACGAACTCGATCCGCCGCGGGTACTTGTACGGCGCAGCGTTCTGCTTGCAAAAGTCCTGGATCTCCTTGACCAGCGCGTCGCTAGCCGCGCGGGACGCTTTGGCCTTGGCCGCGGCGGATTCGGTGAGCACGATGAAGGCTTTGACGACTTCGTCGCGCTGCGGGTCTGGAGAGGCCACGACGGCGGATTCGACCACCGCCGGGTGCAGCTTGAGGGTTGATTCGACCTCGAACGGGCCTGTGAGTAAAACACCAGTCAGTCAGTGAGGAGTTCATTGTAGCGACTCGAGTGTGTCTTTGTCGATGTGGTTGACACCACACCGGAAAAAGGCGAGGGAGCCCTTTCCAGGTGGGAGGCGCAGGAAGTTCGCCTTCGCGGTAATTCCAAGCTCATATATGAGAGTGGGTTATGCTCCACCAGACCCCGCAGCGTCCCTGTGTGCTCAGGAAGAAAAAAGGGAAGCGTTTGAAAAAGACATGGTCGGACAACTCACCTATCCTGTATCCGCTCGAGTTGATCACATCGTCCGCTCGGCCCACGAACCAGAAATATCCATCCTCGTCTCTCGTCGCACGGTCGCCCGTGACAAAGAACTTCTTGCCATTGGGATACGTCTTGATCTTTGTGTCGAGCACCCCGGTAGACTTGTCGATGTATCCCTCGAAGAATCCGAAGAAATCTGAGTCGCTCCTCGTATTCGCCACCGCAATGCCAATGTCTCCTTCCGTTCCGGGTGCCACGGGATTTCCTTCGGGATCGATGATGGTCAGAGGCACGCCGGGGAGTGGCTTCCCCATACTGCCCGGCTTGACCTTGTTGACTTTCTGGTTCGCGCAGACGACGATCGTCTCGGTTTGTCCATAGCCGTCGAAAATCTCGATGCCGCCCGTCATCTCCTTCCAGATGCGGACCACACTCTCGTTGAGAGGCTCGCCTGCGCCGCAACAGTGGAGCAGTGCCTGTGGCGTGCCTTGTTCCGTGGCGAAAAAGCGCCGGCTCTCGTCGAGAACAAGTTGTCGGTACACCGTCGGCGGAGCGCAGAATGTCGTGATAGGGAACCGGTGCAAGACCTCGATGGTCCGACGCGGATTGAAAGCCAACCTGTCATCGTGGATGAAGACTGTGGCGCCGCAATTCCATGTAGATAGCCATGACCATGCAGCTTTAGCCCAGCCTTGCTCCGAGAGGGCCCAGTATATCTTGCCGGGCGACAGATCCAGCCAGTGAATCCCGGTGAGGGCGTGCGCGAGGGGATATGATGTCTGCGTGTGAAGAACCATTTTTGGCGGCCCCGTAGTGCCGGAAGTAAAGAATATCATGCCTGGAGACTTTGGGCCTAGAGACCTGGGGACGGCAAATGTGGCGTCGAAGGGGATTTTGTTCAGTGCCGAATAGAAGTCAACGACCCCTGAAGGCGCTTTTCCATCTATTTGGATGATGGTGCGTAGATCGGCACAACCACCGCGGACCTTGAGGCATTTGGCCACCGACGCGGCATCTCCGATGAAAGCAGCAGCGCGGGAGACTTGGAGGCGGTACTCTATGTCCTTGTCCACCAACAGCGTCGTGCACGGGCACAAGATGACCCCAGAGCGGAGACAGGCTGTCGCAATCTCCCACCATTCAGGGACTCGTGGCGCGATGATGATGGCTATTTCGCCCTGCTTAATGCCCAAGGATGCCAAAAGGCTTGCTATGCGTTGCGACTGGCGCGAGAAATGCCTGTAGGTCAGTCGCCGTACCGCGCTGAGTGATTGATCGGTCCAGTAGAGGGCTACCAGCGAGGGATCCTTTTTAGCCCAATAGTCGACGACATCGCTGGCAAAGTTGAATGATTTAGGTAGACGTAGAGGCGAAACCGGGACAACGGAGCTCATGTCCACCATGTTGCAGCAGGTGAGTTTGCCCGAGCCAGTCAGTGTCGCTTTCCCATCTACCGTAGTCCGCAGTCCTCGTAGGAAAAGAGATCAGAACGTTCAAGGCAGCAAGCAGCGGAACCCAGTATATATTGCTGTGTGATTGAGGTCAATCAGGACTTCACCCCGGAGGTGGCTGGAGGGAAGACGGAGATGAAGGAGACGAGATATTGCACACACGGACTACTGGGTCTTGGAGAAGGAAAAAAGGTGGAGACGATCCTCGACCATTAGCCCCCTCTTGGACTTATACCTGGGTTAGTCCTGGCCGTATCCTCTGGTGTCGTCAGATCGCCAGACCTGCTAAGACACATCGACCCGGGACAAGCTGGGTTCCCTTTACCAAATGGGGACGGCTACACCAGCAAACAGCAAAAAGCTGCCAAGTCTCAGCATGGAGATAGTGGGGCCTTGTAATGCGGGGTTCCGAATTTCGGGGCGTCGGAGGAATTCCGATGCCTCATGTTCCGTCCGAATGTCGTCCAGAACGACCTTGAACATTGGTTATCATTTAGTGGTCCGCTGTTGTGCATCGCACCGCTTGGCTGGGATACGAGGGTCGCTGATATATTCAATGCTCTAGACGGGCAGAGCTGGCCCGCCAAGCACCTTGAGATCCATCGTTGTGGCTTGCTGCTGACCAATGACAATGTCCAAGGCATGATTGGATATTGACACCGTGGAGCTACTTGTATGTGCCGAGGTGATCCCTAATCTTTCTTCTGCTGGCCACTGCCACCATAGGTATCACGACAGCGCAAGTGAATCATAATGACGCCAGACTCTTCATCAGCGTCTGGGCTGTCCGTATATGAAAGCTCTTGCCCATCAGGACCTCATGTCTAGTGTACGCTGAATGCGGCAAGACCTGCGCTGAAGGACTTTTGATATACCATCATTCATTGCTGGCTCCATGACGAACAGATTCGCGCGGACAGCTTGGCGAATGACTGCGTTGGTGCCGGGCCGCGAAGACGAGAAACAAATCGATTGGAAGCCAAGACAAAAAGGGGGCTCATCCATTGACATTCCATTTCCTACTTGCCAAAACTTATATACATGGTGTGAGACAAAAGGTTGGACGTTTGAACTCGACTTTGTGATTGTGATTAGGCAAGGCCACGGTCCATGTGTTCAACCACTTCCCCGTCCTGACATTAAATTATCGACAAAAGATGCCTCCGGAATAGCAGTGGTCAGTCATTCCAGCAATCCAAAACTTTTGTGACCGGCCCTTCCCACATATTTCCACGTCAATCTTCATCATGCCCATGACCATGATCCCCACTCGCCCTGCGCGAGGTGCTAACGGTCGGTGATCCCCCTGGTGGCGCCACAGGGCTTTCTTTCGGTTTTCCCAATTCTCCCAAACGCCGTCGCATTGGTGGCCAGCCCGACCTATCTCAGCGCAATATGCGCCCCCATTCGGCCATTAATGTGGAACTCCCATCTGCCATCATTTCACCATATTACGGACCTCCCATCCCACCGCGAGTCAGATTGACAAGAGAAGAAAATTCGTTCATCTGGGTATCACTGACAGAACACAAACCATGAAGCGGAAAGTAGAGCACTGCTACACGCATCATACCCGAGAGCAAAACACTTGGTCGTTTACCTCTCCAAAAAGTGTTGTGGCTCGTGACCGGTGATTCATTCTTTAGGTTCTTGTGAGAGTCGTGGCTTCTTTGCAATGTGTCCTTGGTCGTTAATCTCTCGGAGCCTTCGCTGCAGCTCTTCAGCCTTGTGTTTCCATTCTTCGCGCTCTTGGATGGCCCTGTCCCGTTCCCGGCACAGATTCTGTTCGTTATCGTGATAGACCATGTTGATGACCTCCAACTCGGAGACTCGCGTGCGCAGGCGCGTGTTGAGGGCAGCTAGTTGTTCGTAGCTCATGGACGATTCGGCATTTTGACTGTTGTGCATGGAGGCTGCGTTGGGAGAGGGTTGCGTGGCGTGTGGATTGAGAGACTGGTCGGTCGGCGATCCGTTGTTGTGATGGTTATAGTGCGAGTCCCCCGTGGCAGATATCCCATCGAAGAGGTGTTGAGGGGCGATATTTGGGTCGTGATGACCCGCAGGGGTTCCGGTTCGTGATATGGGAGAATGCGATCTATCAGAGGCGACGGAAGCTGCCATCTGTGACACCCGTCGGTGAGGATTGATACCGTTCGGGCTG